ATGAAATTCTGGGCTGAAAGTTCTGTTCTTTAAGTATATTGAATATTGGCCCCCACTCTCTTCTAGGTTGTAGGGTTTCCGTTGAGAGATCTGCTGTAAGCCTAATAGGCTTCCCTTTATGGGTAACCTGATCTTTCCCTCTGACTGCCCTTAATATTTTCTCCTTCGTTTCAATCCTGGTGAATCTAAGGATTATGTGCCTTGGGGTTGCTCTTCTTGAGGAATATCTTTGTGGTGTTCTCTGTATTGCCTGGGGTTGAATAGTGTCCTGCTTTGCTAAGTTAGGAAAATTTTCCTGGATAATATCCTGAAGAATATTTTCCAGCTTGAATTCATTCTCTCCATCACATTCAGGTACACCAATCAAACGTATATTAGGTCTTTTCACATAGTCCCATATTGCTTGGAGACTTTGCTCATTCCTTTTTATCCTTTTTTCTCTATTCTTGTCTTGTCGTTTTATTTCATTAAGTTGATCTTCGACCTCTGATACCCTTTCTTCTGCTTGATCCATTCGGCTGTTTAATCTTGTACATATTTCACTAAGTTCTCGTGTTGTATTTTTCAACTCCATAAGTTCATTTGTATTCCTCTCTATATTGTCTATTCTTTTCAACATTTCATCTAACCTTTTTTCCAAGTTCTTAGTTTCTTTACATTGGGTTAGAACAAGTTCCTTTAACTCCCAGAAGTTTCTTATCATCCACCTTTTTAAAGCCTACTTCAGATAATGGAACACAGTCCTTTTCCATCAGGGCTTGTTCCGTTACTGATGAGTCCTTTTCCATCAGGGCTTGTTCCGTTGCTGATCAGTCCTTTTCCATCAGGGCTTGTTCGGTTGCTGATGAGTCCTTTTCCATCAGGGCTTGTTCCGTTGCTGATGGGTTCTGATTTTGGGTATACTCGGCCTTCTTAAGCTGGTTTTTTCCCTTCATTGTAGATGAACCGCCTTTCTAATTAGGTTTCTGAGTCGACGTCCGACTTATTGATTCCCAGTGCTGGGATCCGAGCAACCCACTGTGGCGGCCTAAATAGCAGCAATAAGACTGATGGTGCTCTTCTGCCCGGGAATCTCTGGTCTGGCTTCCCTCTTGAGTCTGCAACAAGCGGCTCTGACTTCCCGGAGCTCCAAACTCGGGTCAGTAGGGGAAGCAGTCCCGTTGGCTCTGCATGAAGAGCTGCTGCTGCGGCCACGAGAGTCGTGCTGGCGACCCGTGGGGCTCCTCGACTGGGAATCGGCCGATCCGTGAGTGACGAAAATTCGTCTAAAAGTGTGGTGTCGTCTCGTTCTCTGAGCTTTCACTGGGAGCTACAATCCCGAGCTGTTAGTGATCGGCCATCTTGGATCAGGAACCATTGAGTTGTATGTGATGGTTTAAATCAAGGTTTTTCAGCCTTGGCACAATTGAGATTTTGAGCTGGTTAATTCTTGGTGTGCATTGTAGGGTGTTTAGAATCCTCCCGGACCTCTACCCGTTAGATGCCTGTAGCACTCCCTATATCCCAGTTGTGATAACCAACGATGTCTCCTGATATTGCCCAAAGTCCCTGGGGAGGGGTTAGGGTGAAAGGCAAAATCGCCCTCACTGGAGAACTGCCGGTTTAAAGATATTGGAGCGATTTTATCAGAAAACCACGACGTTTTCCTGCTACAGTACTGATGGTTTTACTGAAGATTGTAAAATCTCGAATTCTTTTTATCACTAGAAGGAAACTAATGAATGTTTATAAATTCCTTGTAGGGAGTTTTTTTTTAATATTTAAAAAGAAAAGCTACTTTACTGGTGTCTACATAGTTACCTGACCAGCCATCTAACTATTCCAGCCACTTACTCTTTTGTTTAATTACAAGATCTGCTATGATTTAATTTTATATAGACAAATGCTGATTTTATTCCTGGGCCCTGAAGTTCTCAATGCTGAATTAGAAAATGCTAAAATAATACTCGCAATTTAGACCTGGATCTAAAAATGTAAATTTCACACAGCACCTGGATTTTAGTGTTAGTTTCATATCTAATTTATTCTAATTTGGAGTAAGCCCTTCAGCCCTTTTGTGCAATTTTTCTCATCTGTAAAAAGAAGAAGATAAACTATAATATCTGTAAGTTTGCTTCTATTCTAAACAAACATCAACACTTGAATGCATTTATATTATTTCATTGGGTTGTTCCTCCTGCTTCCAAAATATACCTCCCAATGGAATTAAACACAGAATGTGTCCCAGAATGTGGTCTATGGTGCTGATCTACTATAAGATGAGTATAGGAAGGGACAGTAAACAGAAACAATTAATGTAATTTGGCAGTGTATTCTATGCCTATTACATGTAATAATAAAAGTTGGGCTTATATTTCGTCTTTTTGAAATTCATTTTTTTTCTTGTAAGTCGCTTTTATTACATTTTATAAAAGTAAAGCTCTACAGGGGATTAAAAAACAAAAACAAAAACAAAACTGGTCTTTCACTAGAGGGAGTTTGGGAAGCAATGCCTGGATGTATGATGGAAGATTTGTCTGCATCTCTTTCTACCATGACCAGTAAGAGATAGTTAGTATATTCCATCTCCCTGCAATGTAAATAAAAATGGGGCAAGATATTGTCTATTTACCCCATTAGCAGCATAAAGTAGGTAGCAAGTAGAATTGATTGTAAATAAATTTGTCTAACAGAAAATAAGACATCATTCATTTAGCTTAAGTTAGTTTCTTGAATTAAAATAACCTGTTTATCTTAGAACGTAAACCCAAAGAGCAATGAGAATGTCCTTTCTTTAATTATCTTTTTTCGGAGAGTCCTTACATATGAAATCTACTCTAATGCTCGGTATACTGAAGTTTCCATAAGTAGCCAATGGTAGTGAGGGTGGGTAAAGAAGGAAAAGGTGTGGATTGCGTTTACTAAAGAGATTTTCACAGATGTTTAGGAGTCTATTCAGTTACTCGGATTAATCCTTCATTTGGGAAGATCTGTTACATGGACCCAGATGTGATAGAATGAGGTATAAACAAGGGTGGTTGAGCCATGGGGCACTTCACAGCATGACCTTCATCTGATTTTCCAGTATTATTGTCCAATCTTGATGTGGTAAAATATGGTGGGGGAACAACACTTCTCACTGACAGTTATTTGAAGCAGAAAACACTGTTGGGTTCTTTGCACTATGGACCATTTATTCCAATACCTTTTATCCCATAAAGAGTGGAATAATCTGGCAGCCTGGTGCTCCTCCTGGGAGCCCTTTGCACATGACCTGGCATTGCTTGGAAATAGTCTCTTAACCGTGGCCAATATGGCCTTTGTAGCACTTCCTCCTCCAAAGCCAGAAAGGCAAGATCTTTGCCTGAGCTATTAGCAGCAAAAAATCACCCTTTCTTTCAGTTTTTTAATTCAGATGATGAAAATATATAACATATTCAGAAACTCCACTGGCAGACTTGGCAGGCATTTCATAGTTACCTGGACTTAACGTGAATCGGATCTGGGTCTCTGATTTCCCCGCCTCCATCTCTCAGAGCAAGTTATTTATTATCTGAATGAGTCTGCGTTAGTGGATCAGACATGCACATGGCACATACTTTGTTCAGTAAGATTTATGCTAGCCCAAATTGTTTTATATTGGTTTTCATTGTTGAAAATTTACTGTATTCATTCTCGGTTTGGCATAAGTATTTGTAGTGTGCTAGGGGTTCCTGTGGTTGAACATTTTATCTCTGTAACACTTCACGCAAAGGAAATTAAAAAATACATAATGAAAGCGTTTCCCTAATGTGTTTCCAATCAGCTGTGTACTTTAGTAATTTGATTTGTAGGAACCAGGGAGCAGAGTATGACTGAGCCCTTTTCAATCATTCATAATTTTTTGGGAATTAAACATTATTGAATTTTGTCTAAGTCCTTTATTATTCTGTTTGAATGTAGTAAGAGGGATTTTTTTTTTAACCACAGCATTATCTAAAAGTTCTTATGGAAGGAGTGAGTCTTTTCTCTGTGTCTTGCACAAGAAAAACTGATGTGAATTGAGGTTGATTAGCTTGCCAGAAATCAGTCATTGAAATAGAGAGCCAGGCCCTTTTATTTCTCCATTATCACATGTGGGTGTTCCTGCTTCTGTTCTTTTTGTATTAAGCAATCCAGACTATGTATTGCTAAATCTCTTTGCCTAGTGGGCTCCTAAGGATACAGTGATGGTCGCCACAGCCTGGCACATCTTCCTAGAACATGTGACCCACAGTGTGGAGGGTTGTACAAACTGACTCAAGACCTAGGCTGTGATCTCCACACGACTGTTTCTTTGGCCTTTGTCCACAGACTCTAACTGGCTTATTTCTTCTTTTGAGGATCTCTGGCCTTTGACTTTTGTTTTTGCCAATGAATAAACATGTGATAATCCATACTTGGGTAGTTTCAGATTTGCCTAATCTAATTTACTACCTAAAAGTCATATAAAAAGTAAATAATCATAGCTCTTAGAACTGGAGGTAAGAGTTGGAAGGTTTTATCTAGTGAAGACGGTAGCTCTTCAAGAATCTCAGATGGGTATACAATTTTTAGTTCAGTTCCTATATTTTAATTTCCTGCTTTGATTTTCTATCATGTTTTAAACTTCACTCTTGATCTTCAGCAAGTTTGAGTGAATTTAATCTCATGTAAGATCTCTCTTCATAGTGGTGTTTTTAGCTCTGGTCTTCCCCAGACGTCATTAGGCATGAATCAAGTTATGAGGTTAGACATTTTGGCCACAAGTGTTCATCACTCTATGGCTTTGCGCTTGATAATATAATCCAGGAGGTTAATCTTCTCAGTGTGAGTCAATGTGAGTCAACGTCAAGTGGATACTTAGAAAGCTTAGTTGTGTTTTTGGGAAAAATAGCCAGAGTATGGTGGTTGCTGTGATCGCTAATCTGGGCTTAGAGAACATAACTTATTTTGCTCCAAAATGTAAAGGAAACACACATTCATTCTTGGCCTTTCTTCCTGCTTCGGTGTCTCCTGTCCAGGTTGCACCTATGAAGGAAACACCTATAACAGCTCCTTCAAATGGCAGAGCTCGGCTGAGCCTTGTGTTCTACACCAGTGCCAGGTAAGGTTCAACTGTTTCTCTCTCCAGTAAAAAGGAATCCATAGAGTCCTCTTCAGTTACCCATTCCAACAACACAGAACAAAACCCCAGAAAAGCCAAACAAAAATGAAAAACCAATGAAAAAGCAACTGTATCCTTGTGTGTGTTTACTGTGACAATCACCATAACAAAACGGGTATGAAAAAGCAACTGTATCCTTGTGTGTGTTTACTGTGACAATCACCATAACAAAACAGGTACAGCATAGATATTGTATAGAACTTGCTTCCAGAAACATACAGCAGAATTGTGAACCATTGTAAAACTGTGCCTGGAAAAACTCCAGGAAGATGCACACGTCCTTGGGGAAAATTCATGTCTTCCTGTGAAGTCATCTGTGAGCAAAACATGAATTCCTCTTAGCAGAAAGGGGGTATTGTTAATGGATGTATGTTTCCCTTCTTTGATTTAGAAAGATTTTGAAATGGATCCAATCTGTAAACGATTACACTGAAGCAATTAGTACACTGTAACTGGATGATTTCAGTCGACAAATTAAAGCACCACCAATTCAGCAGCTAGGGAGTCCACTGTGGCTGATCCTTACTGAACTCTGTTTCCGAGCAGTGATTCTACATGGCTCTAATCCTGTCAGGTGTTAAACAGCAAGAAAAACTAAAGCAGAAATGAAAAACTTAAATTTTCAAATTCCCACTTTAATAAAACAAACAAAAACTCTATATGCTCTGTTAAAAATTATGCCCATATAATTTTGACAAAACTTAAAAATTATTCTTTGTAGAGAAGGTGCTATTAAATTATTTTATCCCCGACCCCATTTTGTTGTCCAAGGACGTGTTTTGCATTTAAAGGATATTAATAGTGGATAGTTCTCTTTGCTCTCATCTTTTTTTTTTTTTTGAGACAGAGTTTAACTCTTGTTGCCCAGGTGGGAGTGCAATGGCATGATCTCAGAACTGGAAGTAAGAGTTGGAAGGTTTTATCTAGTGAAGACGGTTCACCACAACCTCCTCCTCATGGGTTCAAGTGATTCACCTGCCTCAGTCTCCCAAGTAGCTGGGATTACAGGCATGCGCCACCATGCCTAATTTTGTATTTTTAATAGAGTTGGGGGTTTCTCCATGCTGGTCAGGCTGGTCTTGAACTCCTGACCTCAGGTGATCTGCCTGCCTCAGCCTCCCAAACTGCTGTGATTACAGGTGTGAGCCACCGCGCCCAGCCAAATTTGTTTTGTTTTGTTATATGGATGAGAGGTCTCCTATGTTGTCCAGGCTGGCCTCGAATGCCTAGCCCGGCCTCCTTATGTGCCAGGAAAACAGGCCTGAGCTCTGATCTTAAGCACAGTGACATTTAGTTTACTGATATCTAAATTTTATATAGTTATGTTCCTATAACATGCCACGATAGGTACGCTCATTCATAAGACCTTCAGCTATTTATTCAGTTAAATATTCAACTTATTTATTTAGGAAATCTGTTAGTGAAAATAAGCAGTAAGTAGACAAATATAAATAATACATTATTAAATCAGCAAACATTTGCTGAGTTTTTACTCCAGGATGTAGGTTCAATTGGTGTCATACTGCAAAGAGATGACAGCAGTAAGTTCCCATAACACCAAAAGCCACATTTGCTCCAAAATTTATACCACTCCATTCCTGCTCTGCTTCTTGACTAGCAAAATTTCTGTTTTTTAGTAGAGCACTCAGAAAACCAAAGCCACGGTGACAATGTTGAACAAGACAGTCACACATCCTCTGGAGTCTAGAATAGTATTTCTACATAACAGTCAGAGGTTTTGAAGAACCTCAAGTTGCATAGAGCAGGGGTGAATTTTGCTGCCTTTGGGGTGAAGACTTTGTTTAAATTAAGTGGAAGCTTTTTTTTTTTTTTTTATGAGATGGAGTTTTTGCTCTTCTTGCCCAGACTGGAGTGTAATGATGCGATCTCGGCCATAACCTCCACCTACTGGGTTCAGGCGATTCTCCTGCCTCAGCTTCCCGAGTAGCTGGGATTATAGGCATGTGCCACCATGCCCGGCTAATTTTGTATTTTTAGTAGAGACGGGGTTTCTCCGTGTTGGCCAGGCAGGTATCGAACTCTTGACCTCATGATTCGCTGGCCTCGGTCTCCCAAACTGCTGGGATTACAGGCATGAGCCACTTGCGCCTGGCCAAGGGGAAGCTATTAGCTATTATATGGGAGGGACTATTTTGTTGACTGAATAACACGTTAAGCCATTATCCATTGTTTACCCTGAAACTCGATTGCCTAGCATCTCTGGTCAGTAGCCGCTCAGCAGGGCCCAGAAAGAGCGATGCAGGAATTTCAAATCATTGTTGGAACAGATCTTAAAGTCCAGCAGCCTTGGGAGTCAGCATATGCTGACCTGTAAAATGGGGCACATAAGGTGGATGCTACCTACCCAAGAGGAACTTTGCCTTTCATTTCTCCTCCTTTTCTAAATTTTTGCCAGTGTCCTGCCAGCTAGGATAATATTTTATTCAATACACAGAAAGGCGACCTGTGATGAAGGGACCCGCCAAAGGCTGCTGGGGACTTTCCCTCTCCTTACTTGCTCTCTTCTTTAGGTATGAGACCTTGTCGTGGAATATAGGAAATGGCCGTTTGCTCGCTCCTGTCAGGGAAGTCTTCTGGCTTTTCTGTAGAATGAAGCAATGGTAACCTCTCTTCAAATGCTCTTCTTTTCTCAGGGCACAAAATCAGTGACAGAGGATACAGTGTAGGGCAATAGGTGAAATACGGATTCTGCCACTCACATAAGTTGTGACTTAACCTTGCTGTACCTCACCTTAACCACCTATAAAACAGAAACAGTACTGTCTTCAGCTCTCTTCATCTTCATTAAAAATGCTTCCAGTAGAGTGCCTGCATGGACCGGGTACAACAGGTCCCAGACAGATGACAGGAAGTCTAAGGATCTGGCCTAGTTCCATTTGAATTGAATTCTACCTTATTTCGTCTATCTTCCAAACGAGAGAGCTCTGATGATGAGACATTTCCCTTTATTTTCCTGCCTTTAATTTCGTATGGGAAGAGGAAAATTTGAAGATCACAGACAGGAAATTCATGCTGGGAACTAACCTGAATCCTCCATCTGGATTGCAGATACTGAAGGAAAATTGATTTGGGTCCATGCATAACTTTTTGCATTGCTTCAGTTACGTAACCAAGGCATGGAGCTTTTTGAGGTGTTGTGTCTTGCTGATGCTTTAGTTGTTTCTTGCTTTCCCATGTGAGGTAGGCTCTAATAAATTCTCCAGCAGGTGGAAACCTCAGGCCTGACATGATATGAAGACACTTAGGATGTAGCCCTTCTTGTTGGGTTGAGATATGTGGTCACAGACACGATGAAGAGGATGACCTAGTTGTCAATTTGTTACATTTTATTTTCATCCTGTGCCACTATTTTGTTGACTGAATTAACACATTGCGCCATTATCCATTGTTAATCCTGTAACTCCGATCGGCCGGTCGCCGCTCAGCAGAGCCCAGAAACACAGACAACAAAACACAATAAAACAAACAACAACAAACACAAAACAACAACGAAAACCAAACTAACAGACACACAAATCCATTTATAAAATGAGCAGAGAATCTGGAGAAAGCCATTCAAAGGCCAACTCTGAAAATTAGCTTTAAAAATGTTTCAATTGACATTAAGGTGATATGAGAGTCCCAATATCAGTTTGCAAATGACTCACTTGATTTTATTACTAAGCCCTAAAGTCTCTATTTTGATGGATATAATATTAACTTAAAAATAGTTTTATCTAATCTCTTCCTTTGATGTTTGAGGAAAACTGAGACCCGGGATCTCTGTGAGGCAGAGTGTCATTTCTAAGATTGCAGAACTGGTCTAAAATTATTTCTAGAAGGTTGATAAGGATTTAGGATCCCCAGGTGCTAGTCTGGGTGATGGTGCTTATACTCTGCCTCACCATTAATGCCCTGACATGAGTAACAATGACAGAAAATACAGGAAGTGTGGAAAACCTAAAACGGTTGCGAATGAGCAGCTAGACTCTGCCGGGTGCTTAGTGACAGCAAGAAGGGCTTAAAAACTGGATTTAAAAGAAGGCAAGAAATTAGGGCCAAAGAGAAAGCAAGGGCAGGGAAAAGAAGAGGTGACAGATTTGCACTGTGAGTTATAGAGCACGGGCTGGGGTGAGCCGGGATCTCACCCCTCTCACCTCGTTAGTACCTCTGGCCTCGACACCCACCGAGCCTTGTGGTTTTTGTGCTTGGACAGTTCTGCTGCTTAGGTCACTTTCCAAAAGTAGTAACTCCGTGGGAATTCCGGGCTAACGTCGCTTGTGCCGTTCTGTGTTTCAGGAGGGCGTTGTCACAGAGTCTGAGGTACGCTGTGTGGTGCATTGTCAAAACCCTTCGGAGCATCTGGGAATGTGCTGCCCCACGTGTCCAGGTAACGTCCTCAGGAAGGCAAGGCTGGAAATCTGTGCGTGTTCTCTCGGGAACGCCTGAATCTCACAACCCCTCTTGTTGGAAATTTTCCTCACTTTACATCTGTGTACATAATGGGTCTAGAGAGCGAGCTCCTTTGCATAGAAATATCCGCTTGGCCTCCTTGGTGTGCCCAGCATGAATGCGATGTGCTGGAGGTCCTGGCATGGGGGTTCTCCAGGCTCCAAGGCCTGCTTTCCACTCCACAGGGCCACAGGTAATGCTTATTTTGGAAGAAAAGGCTGTGGCTTTCTCTGGCTTCCAGAAATGTCTTTTTACTGCTTCATATTGCAAAACCCTGGCCAGAGCTCGCTGTGGTGATGAGGCAACCAGATGTTTTCTGAAAACTGAGAGCTGTGTCCCAAAGTGAATTTAGCTTAGGGTTTTCCTGGTCTCAGTTTTCTGTGTGGTTCAACAAGGTAGACCCTCTGTCTCTTATAGAGGGCCCTGCTTCCTAGCTGACAGCCAAGGGATCTTTCTTCTGCAGTGGCTGGAGCGTTTCCTTTTACTTCTCTGAGCGGGATTACAAAGACCTCCTGCATCTTTTCCTGCCCTTACATACGAGCCTGGGGATTTTGAGGTGAGAGATTTCTTCTGATCTCTTAAGCCACTGGCCAATAGTCTCTGACAGGTGTTCCACGTTTTGGGTTTTTTTTTTTCTCTGAGTGCTTTTCCTCAAGGGTGGTGATAACAACTCCTGCTCTGCTTTTGAGGTTAATCTCCAAAGGGCCTTCTGTTCTTGGAAACTCGCTGCGAAGTGGCTAAGGCACCACCGGGGCTCTGCAGAGATGAGCTTCTGCTCCATTCTCAGGCACCTGCCACTTTTCCTCCACACAGTCTCAAAGGCATGGTCCCTTTCAGAGTTCAGCCTTTTCTCACCCTTGAATGACAAGGACAGCCAGTTTCCACTTATGGCTAACCCTCCTCAGCTCCCCAGGCCATCTTTATTCAGCTTCTTTTTCACACTGGGATTTCTGTAAAGCTTGTATTCTTCATGAGCTTATGTGAAAGCCAAAAACGGGTTGAAAGTAAAATCATTTTTTCCCATTATCCAGTTGTTTTCTATCTACCAAGCAGAGTTGGCTTGAGTACTTTTCCCTCTGAATGCGCTGAAATGTTTGTATTGCCTGACCATATCCTTAAATACCTACAGGATCTTTATTAAATGAGATGAGTAGTTGTCCAGGCTGCAGTCTAGAATCACCTGGAAATCCTTAAAAAACAAAACCAATCTTGATGCTCATACTGCATCCCAGACCAATTCCATCAGAATCTCTGAGGAACTCTGGAGTCCCAAATCTCCCAGATAATTTCTATACACACCCAACCCTGACATTGATAACAGAGCATATTTTGTATACCACATAGTTTTAAAAAATATTGGCTGGGCACAGTGGCTCCTGGCTGTAATCCCAGCACTTTGGGAGGCCGAGGAGGATGGATCACAAGATCAAGAGATTGAGACCATCCTGGCCAACATGGTGAAACCCCATGTCTACTAAAAATACAAAAATTAGCTGGGTGTGGTGGCATGTGCCTGTAATCCCAGCTACTGGGGAGGCTGAGGCAGAAGAATTGCCTGAACCTGGGAGGTGGAGGTTGCAGTGAGCTGAGATGGAGCCACTGCATTCCAGCCTTGCGACAGGAGTGAGATTGCCTATCAAAAAAAAAAACAAAGAAAAGAAAAGAATAAAATTAAAAAAAATTATAGCTCTTAAATATGAATTCAGTTGTGTTGAGTAGACTGTGGCTTCACTGACACAGAATCAACTCACAGCCACCCCCTACTCATAACCACGGGACCCGTAATGGACCAACAATAATGCAATGAACACCTAAAGCTCAAGACCTCTTACCCTATAGAACATGCTCCTCGCTCAGGAGATAGTCATATTTTCAGACCGCCTTTGAAACTGTGGGTACACAGAGTGATGGATTTCAGCAGCTGATGTCATCACATCTGAGCCCTTGCTTCTTCCACTCTCTTTTTGGTTGAGTTTCTAGGAAGTAAAGGGCTGAACTCCATGACTGCTCCCACTGCAGTGATAAGTCCTTACAACCATCCACTGTTTACCCAAGAAGAAATTAAGCCCACTGAGAATAGGTGCCTGCCTGAGGTCCGTGAGTGAGAACGCGCCAAAGGCAGGGTCAGGGTCTGGCCCCTCCTCTTTTCTGGCCACCAAAGGGCACTACCTCCCATGACCACACACACCGTGAGAATTGAGAAGCTTAGGTGCAGGTGCCCTGGTAGGCAAGTCTTTAAGATTTGGCATGCCACTGCCGCCCACCAGTCCCCTGACTCCTGGGCAGGCTCTGTGTCCTCAGTTACGGGGTCATGAATCAGTTTCATTCCCTCTCCTTTATTCCAAAGGCCAACCTTCGGATTGCAAATTAGAAGATCCAGAAGGAACTGTATCCACAAGGTTATCCTTTGTCTTGTGAGGGGGGCTTCAGGCAAATCTAGATATGGAGAGTCAAGAGTATCCTTGGGGATTCTCCTTGGTCATTCAGAAAGACTGGCATTGATCAGGGAATGGTATTTGGTGTAATGACAAATGCGTAGTCTATGTTCAGTTTCTTCCCGAAGCAGATTTTAGGGCATTCTTAGTGGACTGCTCCCTCCTTTTCGCTGGGCTCTTTGCTCAGGAATGGTGGGGTCGTGATTTGCCTGAAGCCCCCCTCACAAGACAAAGGATAACCTTGTGGATACGGTTCCTTCTGGATCTTCTAATTTGCAATCCGAAGGTTGGCCTTTGGAATTAAAGAGAGGGAATGAAAATCTCAGTTTGCATAGATTTTCATGTAAAATTCCTTTCAGTCGTCAAGGATAGATTGTTGTAGTTAACCTGGCAATCTGTATGACAAAATTCGTGGTGCAAACATGTGTGAAAGAATGAAGCCTGTCTTGTCGGAAGAACACCTTGAAGAGAGACGACCAGGCATCTCCCACAGTAACAGTGGTGAGATACAGCCACTAGGAGGGCCCCACACTTACCCAGCCTTGTGGCATCATGAAGAATAGCAAGGAGCTGGTTGACTGCTGACTCTGCTTGCCGATGGCATGGAGATCTCATGCCTGGGGCAGTTTTTAAACTACACTTTCACTTGGTGATGCAACTTCGGGCTCAGTAGCTTGTCTGCCTGCCTTCCATTTAACAAAGGGTGATGTATCTAGCTTAAGGATGAATAAGGTCAGCGGCCAGATCAGGTGGGCATAATGCCCATTCTTCTTTGTCAGGAACCAGCTGCTCCAAGAGTTTGGTGCGTTCTGCAGATGGCTTTAGCTGGCAGGCCTTAAACATTCGTTCTCAGGGGCGTGGAACAGACTTTCACGAGACCCTGCCTGGGCTGTTTTGCCCACTGCTAGCTCTGCTCCCAGCACCGTCTTCCATGGAGAAGGTGACCTCGGCTGTCCTGGCCTAGTACCTTGTGAGGTTAGTCCTTAGAAAAGTGGCTTTGCTGTTAACTCATCATTGTCCCATGGCCTGTGTGACATGGGGTTCCTGCCTGGCTTGTGCGTCATACCATTTACGACCTCTCTTTGGAATTCGGCAGTGTCCCGGGCGTCTTTTTGAGCAGGGAACAGCTCCTGGGTTCTGGTCCTATAATTAGCTCAAACATGGAGCGGGGGCATGGTCCCTTTAACAGAGAGGGCGGGGCTGCAAACCTGTGTGATACCTTGTGTCCTGCCTATGCCCTTCTTGCCTTTGGACCTTGTCCTCTGAACAGTGCAGCAGATGAGTCAGAACTGATTTTGAATTCCAGCTCTGCCACCTGCCAGCTGGGTGACTTACTTTCCCCTTACTGAGCCATGTTTTCCTTGTCTGTGAAAAGAATGATGCAAGTCCCTACTTTGCAGGATTGCTGGGGATATGGAGTGAGATTGGGGTACAGAGGACCTGGTAGAGGTTGTGCCATTCTAATTGAGTGGGGCCCCTGGTGTCATCTGCTCCGAGCTCATGGTTGACTTCTCTCCCCTGGCCTTTCATCTGCCTTCTCTGGCCCCTCTGGGTTTTGTCCTTGTGGCAGTGTGCAGCGTGGTCACCATGCAGCTCCTGGACTGCTGCTTGGCTCTCTGCGGTGCACTGGTCCCCTTGGGCTGACCTGGGTTCCACTGTCTTACTGGTTTCCCAGCATCTTTGGGATTTTGGGCTCCATGCCCATCTTTTGCCTCTGTTTTTTCTTTTCACGATTTAGTCCAGTCTTGTCCGCTGGTTGAAGAGGACACTTGGCTGCGTGTAGGTGGGTGATGGATGAGCTGTGGATAGAAGGATCGTGTCAGGCCGAACCACGATGGCTGCTGCCCTAATTCTAAACTCTTCTCTGTTTTACAGGTTGTGTGTTTGAGGGTGTTCAGTATCAAGAAGGAGAGGAATTTCAGCCGGAAGGAAGCAAATGTACCAAGTGTTCCTGCACTGTAAGTCCAGCTATGGGTGTTCCCGGGGTGTCCTTTGGACTAATCACTGCTTGCACTCACAAAGAGCACCCCCAGTCTCTGCAGCCTCTTCCTCGTCTCTTCTCTGGGGAAAAGTCAGTCTCTCCTGATGTGGAGCCCAGGGAAAAGCTCATCCACCTGGCACAGTGCTACTGATATTCTGGGCTGGGGAATTCTTCCTCATGAGCTTGTCCTGTGCATTGGAGTATGTTTAGCAAGGTCTCCTGGCTCCACGCACTGGATGCCAGTAAAACCCTCCAGCTCTGCTGCCCACAATGTCCGCAGACCACCCCATGCCCCATGGAGGGCAAACTCACTCCCAGTTGAGAACCTCTGCTCTGAAGCATGAGGAAGAGAGGCGGATTTTCCTCCATGTGTCTCCTTTTTTGGGGGAAAGCATGGATTTTCTGTTCCTCAGGGGTGGAGGAGCTTCTTGCTGAGGCAGCTGCTTGATTCTTCAGCGCAGCCAAAGCAGAAGCAATGGGGACAAACACAGCTGCTTCTGGGCATCCTGAGGGGCGAGAGACTCGTCTGAGGACTGATCATTTACAGGTTGCAGAGTGGGTAGGAGGAAATCTCTTGAAACTGGGGGTTCAGGGCCGAGGAGGAGTCATTGAGACAAAGCCACAGGCTTGTTTTTCTAAGCATTGCTGAATTCTAATGATCTCTCTGCATGCTTAGATATAAAAAAGAACTTGGCACATGGTACAGCTTTAAGGGGATCTTTTAAATGAATATATGTTAAATTTAGGGTGAAATCAATGGTGGTGATAGTGACAGGGAATCTAGTCTTAAGCAGCTGCTGCAAGTTATTTACAGTAGGGAGTCAGTACAACCATCTATGTTTTAAGCTTTTAATATATTATAATAAAGAACAGACATTTTCCAAGTCACTCATGACTCAGTATGCCTCTCAGAATATATTAAAAGGAAAATACGTGGGGAACTCTAGCATCCTAACTCACCAAAGGAGAATCATATGTGGATCAGCATAAATCACAGCACTTGTTGTTTCTTTACATGTTTTTTCAAAAATTTTTCCTCCTTCCTGCAGCACAAATACAGCCAAGCTAGAGAATACAGATTAGAGGAAATATGGCCAAGTGTGATGGTTTTTCTATGGGGGAGAAGAAGGGGAAAAAAGGGAGGGAGGGAGGAAGAGAGTATATATGTATATCTCTATATATCTAGTTATAAAACATATGTAATATACATAAGATGTATCACGTATATAATAATAAAAAACACAAGAGTAATGTACTAATGAAAACGAGCATGGACTTGCATATTCCAACTTAACCTCCATGTTATTCCTCTCCTGCTAATTATGACTAAATAGTTGTATTTTAAGAAAAATTTTTTAAGATGGAGTCTCTCTCTGTCTCCCAGGCTAGAGTGCAGTGGCACAATCTCAGCTTACTACAATCTCTGCCTCCCAGGTTCAAGCAATTTTCTTGCCTCAGCCTCCTGAGTAGGTGGGATGATAGGCTTGAGCCACCATGCCTGGCTAATTTTTGTGTTTTTAGTAGAGATAGGGTTTCATCATATTGACCAGGCTGGTCTTGAACTCCTGACCTCAAGTTATCCACCTGCCTTGGCCTCCCAAAGTGCTGGGATTACAGGTGAAAGCCACCGTGTGAGCCCAGCTTAAATAGCTTTAATTTCTTATGTAAATGATTTCTATTTGCCATTAAATATTAGCCATTTCTTGATTTTATTTCTTCCATACTGGAAGCTATAAAGTTTCCTGATAGTTTTAAAAATTAATCTCATGCTTTTGGGAGTAGATTGAGGAAAATCAAGGCATATTTCAATAGGAAATTGTAAATGTGCACCTGAATGAATTGCCTTTCCCAGTAAAGGTGTGCCAAGGTCAGGCAGCAGAGCCTCCTTGGAGAGGAAATTTAGAAGGGGGTAAGGAGGGTGGAAAGTCCCTGCAGCTGTACCAGTGACAGCCAGCCGGAGTTATCCATGCTGGAACTGGAAGTGAGCTTCGAGTTGATGTGTACAGGGGACGCAAGCCTAAACGTACTGCAGGCATCCTGATTCCTGTGTTTTTAAACACAACGTGTGATGAGTGAAACACCGGTTTCTCCTCCCTAGTGAGTTCTCGCCAGACCTAGAGTCTGCTCCTTTCTCATATCCTTGTATTTTCATTTCCTGTATTCCCGTATTCTCTCTAGTTTTCTCCAGTCACCCTCAGCACTCAAAGGGCAACTAATGGCTTTGATCATGTTCCTGATGCCAGTTTTTAGGTTAATAGAAGAAATGGGGGAGACAACGGAGCTCTTGCTTGAAGATAGGACATCTGTGTGTCAGCTTGGGTATGGGGAGTGTCATAAAAGCAGTTTTTCTTTTATGAACACAAACATTTGAGATGTAATCTTGCGTTTTGGTAGCTTGTTAGTAAAATAATCTGGTTTTTAATATTCTTTCATTTTTGCTGTCTTTTGATGGAGTACACTAAAAAAAAAAAAACAAACAGAAAAAGTAATGTGTTGGCAGCAAATGGGCTTCTCTTGAGGGTGGAAGCTGTGGAGATCTTCGCTTTGGAATGGGATATTCCAAATGTATGGTCTGGCTCTGTAAAGAGGAGGCGTGGAGTTTCCCAGTGTTGCCATGGCAGCCAGCTCAGGAGCTTTGGCGTGTGAGGTGCGTCGGTGTGTGCGGCGCTGGCTTGCTGCGTGAGAGGGCAAAGCTGGAGAAGGGCTTTAGACAGGACCTGTGCAAGGCCAAATGCCCCACCGAGGAGGCTACCGGAGGGCTGTTGAGAACGTTAGGCTGCCTCCTTGTACAAATGAGACTGCGTATCATAACCTGTTGTGCTTTGGCAAAAATAGAAAGATGTATATACAGAGAAATATAAACATTATTTAAGCATGTATATAGTATGTGTGTGACTATATATTTGTATGTATATCTCTATATCTATAATTGCATGTATCTATACACATATATATAAATATGTAAAAATGTGCCTATAAATACAAATATAAACATATACATTTGCACGTCTAAGATTGGATGCCCCAGAAACAGACCCTGAGACAAGTGTATACGTGTAAGTGGTTTATTTGGGAGGCACAGAAGAAGCAGCTTCTGGCAGAAGAGTGTGGAGGGGAGGCAAGGATGAAGAAGCAGCCACTTGAGCGAATGTCACCAAGTGCTGTGGTCTGAATGGTCCCCAAATTCACGGGTGGAAACTTCATCCTCATTATGGTGGTATTATGAGGTGAGACATTTACGGGCTGATGAAGTCATGAGGTCTCTGCCCTCATATAAGGGCTCAAGGAGGAAGTTCATGTCTCTCGCCCTTCTGTCTCTCCTGCCATGTAAGGGTGACTGCAGAAAACTAGAGAGAATACGGGAATACAGGAAATGAAAATATAAGGATATGAGAAAGGAACAGACTCTAGGTCTGGCAAGAACTCTTGCCCTTCTGTCACTCCTGCCACCTCTTCAGAGGTGGCAGCAACAAGATGCCATCTTGGAAGCAGAGAGAGCAGCCCTCGCCAGACACAAAACCTACCCGCACCTTCATCTTGGACTTTCTGGCATTCGGAACTGTGAGAAATAAATTCCTGTTCTTTATAAGTTACGCACTCTCAGGTATTTTGTTATAAGAGTACAAATAGACTGACACCAAATGAGCTATCGTTGTGTGTGACCAGAGCTTAGTCTTGCTGGGGAGTCTGGAAGCCAGTGTAAAAGTCATGCCTCAGAACATTGTCACTGAAGGAGTGAGAGAACTGAAATACCCACACACCAACTCCAACCAGGCTTTGGTTGAGGGCTGCTCCCAGAGGGTCTGGATTGGGTGTCATTTCCAGCCTGCCCCTCAAGTGGAAAAGTGCCCTTTAAGCAGCAAGAGGCAGAAACACAAAAACAGGTATTTCTCAACTTATGGTGGTGTCATGTTCCGATAAATGCATCATCAGTTGACGATGTCTTAGGTTAAAAATGCATTTAATACACCTAACTTGCTGAAGCATGGTAGCTTAGCCTAGTCTGCCCTCAGCGTGCTCTGAACATGTATGTTAGCACACAGTTGGACAAAATCATCTAACACGAAGCCTGTTTTGTAATGAAGTATTGAATAGCTCATTGAACTTGTTGAAAACTATACTTAAGGTGAAAAGCAGAATAGCCGTATGGGCACTCAGAGTACCTATTCTACTGAATGCATATTGCTTAAGTGGAAGTATCATCACAGATTAACTGTACTGGCAGTTAGAAGTGTGGGCATGAGCACACCCCCAAATGGTAAGGCTGAGAGGTGTGGGAAGGGCAGCAACAGTCAGCTACAACATATCTACGTGTCCATATGTGTTCCTATATATGCACGTAAACGTCTATACATTTATTTGTGAATATGTTTGCGTATATGTGCATATGCAGATGCACACATGCATATTTGAAATACTAAACCACTAGCTTTTCCCCAAGCTTTACTCTTTTGCCCCCGCCCCTTTGCTCGTGCTGCTACCTGTCTGTAACTCCTTTCTTCTTCTTGCTCACCTGGCGAATGCTTGGCCTTTCCAAGTCTGATATCACCACACCACTGCAACTCCCTGAGCCCCTGATTTTCCCAAGGAGAAGCAACTGTTTTCTCTGCTGCATTCCTGAGGCTCCCTGGTTTTCACTTCGTCTTTCCCTGCCTCCTCTTCTGTGCTTAGCACCACTGGCAGGCACTCAGCAATGTTAGCACCCTTCTTTTTTTCCATTGCTATCTTTTTGATGTAGTACACTAAGAAAGGGTAATGTTTCCTCTTCTGTCCTGTGACTTCTGCTCTTCCAAGCCGGCCAGCCTATTCTCGCCTGGGAGGGTAACTCTGGTTAGATATCCCCTTATCACTAGCTTACTGTCTGCCTTGGGGACACACTCTATGGAGTTGTGTGTGTAAAGCATCCCTCAGGGATATCATCCAGCTCCAATGAATGAACTGCAAACTCTTCATGGTCTCCCTACACCCAAATGGCTT